ATTTCAACCTCGCCTGCAGCGGTTCGACCACGAACTCGCCTGTAGTGTGAGTGGATGTGGGGGCCCACCCACTCACGTGGGTGAAATGAATCAACCCAAACTGCGCACCTATCCTTTTCCGCGTGAAATATCTGTGATGAGTTGGTTTTTTGTTTCCATGTGGGGACCACAGACGTGCGTGAAGAGCTGAGAAGTGAAACCCACATGAAGAGATTATTTTCGGCTATGAATGCGGTGTGAAGAGATTTGATCAGCGGATTCTCGAGTTGACAGGGAACGCGTTTTCTTCGACACCGCGTAATCATCCCACGCGGTTTCTTTTATGTAGCGGAGTTAGCCCACCCGAAGACAACTACTTTTGAAGCTATATAAATAGCGTACCTAGGGTTTTGTGAAAAGTGTGTAGAGAGGAGTTTTTGATGGCGGGTGTGAAAAGAGTAAATTGCAGAGGCGTGTGTGGTTTCGTGCGGGTGAAAAAGCACGGGCAGAGAGTTTGAGCAGTCCTTTTGCAGTTGTTCTTTGATTTGTGCATCCCTTTTGTAGAGAGAGTTTGTGTGAGGGATCTGAGAGTTTGTGAGAGGGTTTAGGTTGTGAGATTGTAAACCCTAGTTGTATCTCTCCCTCTAATAGTAGATCTCCCCCTCCTTGCCCCGTGGACGTAGGCAGTTTGCCGAACCACGTAAAATTTATGTTCTTGTCATGATTTGTAATAGCTTGTAGGTTCCCTCGACGCGCAGTCCTAGAGCTGACGAGAGGAAGAGCTGATATCTCACTTTGATGAGATATCTAGCTTTTGGTTCTTGTTTTCTTTGAGAAACAAGAATTTCGTTGTGATCTAATCTCTTGTTGTGCACTTTGCGTACTGGAGGTGCTGCCAAAATTTCCGCTGCGCACAACAAGTGGTATCAAAGATCCGGGTTGGACTTGGGAGCTTGTTTGAAGGATTCCTATTTGAAGATTAGATCGACAACATGGGTGAAACAAGCACATCGGGATCGTCTCTTACGAAGACGATACATAGTTTGAGCATCAATAACATGAAGATTGATGTTCCGAAGTTCGACGGCAAGATTAACTTCGGATTGTGGAGGTGTCAGGTGATGGACGCCTTGGACGCTCAGAATTTGGAGGAGACTCTTGAGTTACAAGAGAAACCTGCCGAGATGGAAGCTAAGGTTTGGAAGAAGATGAATAGTAGGGCGTGTGGAGTTATTCGGTCATGCTTGACACCGGATCTTATTTATGACGTGATGAACGAGACGTCAGCGAAGAAGATGTGGGAAACGCTCAATGAAAAGTATCTTACTAAGAGCATTGAGAATCAGCTTCACTTGAAGAAGAGGTTTTACCAATTCAAGATGAAGAGGGGAGTTTCCATTAGGGAGCATGTTAACAACTTCACAAAGCTACTTTCAGACATGGCCAATGTGGATATCATGGTTGAGGATGAAGACAAGGTGATGCTACTTTTGTGTTCGTTGCCCGAGGATGATTATGGTACTTTTGTCCTAACTATGATTAATGGAAGAACTACTGTTAGTTACAAGGAGGTGACCTCAGCGTTAGTGAATTATGAGTTGAGGAAGAGTGTGGATGAGTCCTCCGAGAAGGCATCGGGAGATGCATTAGTAGTTCATGGCCGTGGTTCAAACCAAAGCAGGAGGTCGCAGTCTAGAGGTGCACATCGTGGGATTCGTAGGAATCAATATGCCTTTTGTAAAGAGGATGGACATTGGAAAGCCGAATGTCCAAAGTTAGATCGAGCCGAGAAGAATAAGGGGAAAGCTGTACAAGCTTCAGAGGTGAATGTTGTCAAGACTAGTGGTAACAATTCAGATTCGGATTCTTCGGGCTATTCGTTATCTGCACTACCGTCAGTTTGTGTTGCCAACTCTACAGAGTGGATATTGGATTCGGGTGCTTCATACCACGTTTGCCCTAGGAGGGATTGGTTCTCCAGCTTTCAGAAGTTTGAAAGAGAGGATGTTGTGCTCATGGGTAATGGACATGCATGCTTTATTGGTGGTATTGGTACCGTTCGGATTAAGATGAGTGACGGGATGGTGCGGGAGTTAGAAGAAGTGAGGTTCGTTCCGCAGTTGTCGAAGAACATCATTTCACTAGGAGTTTTGGTGGCATCTGACTATAAAGTGACCTTGGTGGATGCACGTTTGAAGGTCACATTGGGGTCCATGATTGTGATGAAGGATGTCAGAAGGAGCAATTTATATTATTTGCTTGGAAGCACGGTGATTGATAGGGAGATGACGACTTCATCAGATTCGGCTAGACTGTGGCATTATTTGATGCTGGGTTATTTGATTGGTAATGCCGTGCATAGGTTATTGAGGAGTGCTATGACCTGCAGTTTGAAGTCATGTGAACCCATTGGTATGAGCGAGAAGACCGAGATGGAGTTTGGCACTTCTATCCATCATTCAAGGGGTCTTCTGAGGGGTGTTCATTCAGGCATTCGGGGGCCTTCCAAGGGAGCATTATTGGGAGGTAATAGGTATGTGGTTTTCGCAGTTGGGGATTGCTCTAGGCATTGGTGGGTTGCAACCAAGTGCCGTTGGTGTGAAGTCCTAGAAGCCCGCAACAAATGGAGGAAGTGTATTGGCAGAAAGGTGAATGTACTTCAGTCTGATGTTAGAGGGAGGTACAAGAGGGACCTATTTCTGTATTTGTGCCGAGCTCACGGCAATTAGAGATACTTCATTGGTGTGGAAACTTTAAGGCGACGTGATGAGATGGCAGATTTGGGGAGCTGTTCCTTTCTGGAGGAGGATCGGCGTTTGATGTTGAGCATTGGCATTGGTGTGCAGGCTACGACATGTTTGGGCCATCTTATGTATAGGTTGCCGACTGCTGCATGTAGATATTTTGGATCTGGTAGAGCTGCTTCAGATTTTGGGTTGCGTCGGATATTTGGTTACCCAGCACTTGGTCACATCGTGGATGTGAGATTTGATCCAATAGCACATTTGGGATTCAGAGGCGTGTTTGATTATCATGTATTGGCTTCTGATTTTGTTCTGAGCAGGTATGTCACGTTTAACTCTCGGCAGGTGGAGAGTGGTGATCAGATCTTTGGGACATCGCAGCGGGTGGAGAGTGATGCTACTCCACTAACTCTCGGCAGGTGGAGAGTGGTGATCAGATCTTTGGGACATCGCAGCGGGTGGAGAGTGATGCTACTCCACGTTAGGTGAAGACTCCAGATCATATTGTATCATTTGGAATTCCAGCTGAGGTGACACAGATTAGGGATCATTTGTATTTGGATGCAGATGATGAGTTGGATTCGATTGCAGCTGATGGACTTAATTTGGATACGGCCATTGGTTCACCTTAGATGGAGGTGTTTGATTTGTCTCAATTTGGAGCTATTGGGAGTGCTATCAGTTGCAGATCGTTTGGTGATATTAAAGAAGAGTTGCAGACTTTTCTATTTGATTGAGGGCCTTTGGAGGCCATTTGGGTGAACTACGTTCGGCTTGATTCCTTGGGCAAGAGGATACGTAGGCAGTCTTTATGATGCAGCCGGGTTTGGATTAGTTGATGAGGGTGAGATTGATTTGATGAGCGACATCGACATTTGGGGTGAGTGTTCGCACTCCCATTTGGGTCTCAGTAAGTGAGGCATTTGGTGTAGTTGGTGTAGGCTCAATTTGATTTGGTGAGTAGACACTGTTGTTTTGGGTGAGTGTTCGCACTCTCGTTTGGGTCTCGACTTGTGTGGATGGAGTCCGTTGTCATGAGTCCGTTGCCGTGGCGTACTGGATGCAACAAGTGAGACATTTGTTTTGGTTGGTGTCGGCTCAGTTTTTGAAAGAAACTTCACCGAGGTGGTGAATTGTGAGTGGATGTGGGGGCCCACCCACTCACGTGGGTGAAATGAATCAACCCAAACTACGCACCTATCCTTTTCCGCGTGAAATATCTGTGATGAGTTGGTTTTTTGTTTCCATGTGGGGACCACGGACGTGCGTGAAGAGCTGAGAAGTGAAACCCACGTGAAGAGAATATTTTCGGCTATGAATGCGGTGTGAAGAGATTTGATCAGCGGATTCTCGAGTTGACAGGGAACGCGTTTTCTTCGACACCGCGTAATCATCCCACGCGGTTTCTTTTCCGCAGCGGAGTTAGCCCACCCGAAGACAACTACTTTTGAAGCTATATAAATAGCGTACCTAGGGTTTTGTGAAAAGTGTGCAGAGAGGAGTTTTTGACGGCGGGGTGTGCAAAGAGTAAATTGCAGAGGCGCGTGTGGCTTCGTGCGGGTGAAAAAGCGCGGGCAGAGAGTTTGAGCAGTCCTTTTGCAGTTGTTCTTTGATTTGTGCATCCCTTTTGTAGAGAGAGTTTGTGTGAGGGATCTGAGAGTTTGTGAGAGGGTTTAGGTTGTGAGATTGTAAACCTTAGTTGTATCTCTCCCTCTAATAGTAGATATCCCCCTCCTTGCCCCGTGGACGTAGGCAGTTTGCCGAACCACGTAAAATTTATGTTCTTGCCGTGATTTGTAATAGCTTGTAGGTTCCCTCGACGCGCAGTCCTAGAGCTGACGAGAGGAAGAGCTGATATCTCACTTTGATGAGATATCTGGATTTCGGTTCTTGTTTCCTTTGAGAAACAAGAATTTCGTTGTGATCTAATCTTTTGTTGTGCACTTTGTGTACCGGAGGTGCTGCCGAAATTTCCGCTGCACACAACATGCAGCTCGCGTGCTCGAGATTTCCGCCTGCCCCCAACTTCGCCTGCAGCCATCCGCTCGACTCGTCTGAAGGAATTCGCCTGCAGCTTCTGGATCTCGAGCTCGCCTGCGATGGATCCGCCTGAAGCTGCTGATCTCGAACTTGCCTTGAGCTCGCCTCTGATCCGCCTCGACATCGAGCTCGCTTGCGGAGGTTTGAGTCTACACCGATCTCAACAATTCTCTGTAATAGAAAATTGAGATATTATACACCTTAACCACATAAACTAGTTCTTAGCCACGTACAACAAAAAAAAAAACAAGTTTCATATAAAACATAAAACATCCTTCATTGTATACAACACACTGAGATTAATGGTAAAGCACCAAATTATATATTCTGAAATACCTCTTACTAGTTTCCTACTTAACCGAAAACTTGTACACCATGTAATGTTCATAAACCTCTCCAACTCTCACAACTTGATCAGGAAACTCTGCATGATTCACTGCATCAGGAAACCCCTGGGTCTCCAAACACAACCCCCCATAGTTTCCATAAACAGCCCCATTTTTCCCTTTAACACCCTCCAAAAAACTCCCCGTATAAAATTGCACTCCAGCCTGATTACTCCAGAGCTCCATCACTCTCCCTGAGATATCATCCTCAACTACAGAGACCTTTCTCATTCCCTTAGCATCAATCACCGAATCAAGAACGTAGTTTATGTCGTAGCCTCTTGTTACAGGTTTCGGTTGGAGGAAGTCGAAGGAGGTATTGGTGATTGGGGCGATTTCTCCTGTGGGGATGAGGGTTTCGTCGACTGGAGTAATGTGCGAAGCAAAGATTTGGATGATGTGGGAGAGGATTGTGGTGGTGGAGTTGTGGCCATTGAGATTCCAGTAGGAGTGTTGGGCGAGGTTCACTGGTGTTGGTTTGTTTAGGGGCATTGCTTGCATTGATACACTCAGAGTGTAGTTGGCTTCTACTCTGTATGTGACAAATACGTCAAGATCGCCTGGGAAACCTGCAGGGGAAAAAAATTTATCAGTATGTGTACACGTTCATATGCATGTATATGTGTGTCTATATGTGCATGTTTTTATGCTGTAAGTACTCATGCGTGTTTTGTATGTATGTATGATCTACACATAGCACGCATAGACGCGTATATGTTGGGGTCAGCATACTAGCTAAACCAAATTCTTATTAGCAACATGATCCGAAGAAAGAAAGAAAGTTATCGAAAAGCTTGTGCCAGGTGTTTAATAGTAGACTGGTGATGGATTAAATTTTGAAAAAAAGTATATCTGAGTGGTTATTTGCCTTATTTGAATTTCAAATATCAAACTGAGTCTTTACCAGTTGTATATCCGAGCATCAGAGCATGCCTCTAAAAGCTCTATGACTGTATCCTTAAAAAAACTTGGTTGGTGTAAAAAGTAAGTATTCCACTATTTTATTCTCTTTCTCATTTTTAACTGAACGAGATGGAATGTCCTGTATCTCATCTGAATTGGAGAGGGGAAAAAATCTGTAAACATGTTAACGAAACAGCCCTGAACCTTTAGTATCTTCAATCACTTGAATCAATCTACAGCATAACTAACTTGACTAAGAAAGTTTTGGGCTGAAAGATTTTTTTTTCCCTTTTTTCTTTTGTTAATGAAACTATCACTATGAAAAGGTTGCATGCTTTTGCATATATTTTTCTATTTGTATTTCCTTACTTTCCATCTATATTGTAAACCACTAGTTTCTATACAAAAAAACACAAAAATTCTCTTTCATTTGACACGGGTGGTATCAAATTAAAGCTAACGAAGACATCTGAAAGTGCAAACTATTAATTAAGAAGTACTCACTGTCAACACCTGAAAGTGCACACTTTTGATTGCTATTACAGCTGTTTAATAGAAATCGCTTGGACTTTCTCTTTAAAATCTTTGCCTGATCCTTCCTCGGTTGACTTATCATTGCTCTACATGTACTCTTTAGCCGATTAAATCATGACAAGATGATGCTCTTCGTTTCTTTTTGTTTTGTGCTCTGTCCTGCCTCATATTGATCACTTGAGAAAGCTTTTGCTTGGCAGTTGACAGGCTCCAGTTGAGGTTTTAATCTTGTTAAATTAAGGTATTTATGTCGTATAATTTGTTTGGCAGTTGACAGGTTTCCGTTGAGGTTTTAATCTTGTTAAATTAAGATATTTAAATGGTATAATTTGTTCTTATGAGTGCTTAGATGAGTGATGATGATAGGATAGTTAATTATGTGCATTTAAATTAAGATATTAAAATTGTATAATTTGTTCTTATGATTGCTTAGATGAGTGATGATGATAGGATAGATATTTATGAGCATTTAAGCTAAAATAATTGCAAAAAGGTCCATTACCTTGTTCTCCATCAAAGCTATGCAAGCACAAAGTGATGTAAGGATATTCACCATCAACTTTCTCTTTTACAGTCCAGATAACTTTACTGAAACCTCTATGCCCACCTAAAATTGGGATGGCATAAAGAACAAAGTATAGGATAAAACCATATAGAAGATATTTAAATTAATGTATAGATGCGTAACTTCTGTTGGAAGGAAATATGTATACCATGAATTGAATTTCTCCCATCATTAGGATATAATCTGTATGCAGTTCCATTTATAGTGAATCGAGATCCTGATATTCTATTCGCTACTCGCCCTACCAGTGCTCCAAAATATGTGGTATCGTTCTGTAAAATGGAAAGGTATACAGTTAGCTTGAATATAAAAGAAAGAATAAATTTTGATTATCAGGATGGACTCTATATAGATCAGACCACCGAGTATAATCTGATGACAAAATTCCTAAATAGTAAACGAGCTATTAATAATAACAGGAGCATAATTTTCCCCCTAAAAAGAGGAACATAAACATCCAGCATGAAAATAGTGAGGTTTTCTCTAGATATATTCTGGGAAAGAATATGCGGAAAGCCAAAATTGTAAATAAAATATGTTAGCTTAATATTCTAGAATTGACTTGCTATGTGAATTTATTTCATTTGAAAACATATCTGACAAATAAAGTTGTTCTAATAATTTTACTTGGTAGCTTAAGGAACTTCTTACTAAATGAAAAGACTGTAATTCAAATACTTGTGTACAATCTTCTTAACTGGACATATTTTCATTAAAAAAACATGCAATTGGTCGCATAAAATTTACATCACCAATTACTAAAAGCATTGCAAACATGTTAATTTACGCATCAAGAGAGGAACAAGATTATATCCCTCTTACGATATAAGGACCAATCCCATCATAACCAAGAACAATATCATCCAAGTTTCCTGAAAAACCAACAAAATTGAACAAGTAAATCATCAAAAATCACTAACGGCTAACCGGAGAAATTACTAAAAAAAATATGATCCATAAAGAAAAAGCTATAACCTCTAGCATCAGGGACAATTACAGAGATGATGGTTGCACCCCAGTTAGTAACTTTTACTGAGAAATCTCCTTTCTTAAGTTCATATATCCCTACCATTTTCCTCTTCGCACTGGTAGGAGAACTTAGTAGACAAAAGATCAGCAGAGTTAGGAACAAAGGCATAGAAATCTTTGCCATGCCCACAGATCTTTACAAAGGGTATGAGGTAGAGAAAGGAGTAGAGAGAGAAAGCTAGCTATCAATAGGCTTATATATACATAAGAGAGTGATAGTGAGTTCTTATAACTTACCAAAGAATCTTTCTTCTGTTTTTTTTTATTAAGAAGAATCAGTAGCCGGCTGCATCAGAATTGTCCATTTCTCCTCTTAATCTGGCTTAGCAATAGGAAACAGGTGTAACAGACCAAAATAGTCTAATGAATATAGTATGTGATATTGGGCTCTCAATGATTTTCGATTAGGGTGGGTGCATTTTGACACGCGCGCATATATCTGATTGCTAATTGACTTTGGTTTTGATTAATCTAGCACAAAGTTAAGCCATATCATGATCAAATAGGCACTAGTAACTTGATTCTTAAAGAGAGGGAGACATTTGGCGTATGCAACAGCTGGTATTAATTATACTAGAAAGCAAATTAAGTGGCCATTTACTCGAGTTGGAGGGATCTCTCTAACGGTTATCTGTGTTATGTGTCCATGTTTGATAATAATTCTATTACTATACTATGAGTTGTAAAGTTCCATCGAATGCGTAAGTAAAAAAAAATCTTTTTAAGGGAAATTAGAGAGCCCGTCTTGTTAATAAATAAGAACAACTTACCCACATATATCACCAGTAATGCAAAATTACCGGCCAACTTATAGATAACTAACCAGGACTCACGTGGGTACTCAGTTTGCCATGAGGCTATGTACATCTTATACTACATACATGGAGCATGATTTTAAAAAAAAAAATTTAAAATGAGACTGAATATAAAAATTAAGCACCATTTCTTTCTTCCAGAGGTCATCCTATTATTGCTTATTATCTGGTCCTTTATTATCTTAATGTTCTAGATTCTTTTTTAATGAAAGCATTGAGAAATATACTGTTTTATGCAAAGAAGAAGAAAGAAACACGTACAAATGCAGCTATGGACCTATAACAATCTTCTTTCATCCGACTGCACGCGTGCATATTTATATCCCCATCTGTGTTGGATTACCATCCAGAGTTCCCCCAAACACTTCAGTAGAATACTACCTCCCTGGTATCAGAGAGATTGAGTTATATAACGAAGTGTTTGAGGGAACTCCCGGGGATAACCAACATGTTTGTAGTATTCATCAAGTAATTCCAAACCTATTGAGGAAAATGTTGATTGCCCGCCAGAGTTCCCCCATACACTTCATTAGAGACGAAACGTCCTCAATACTTCAGATATCTTTAGTGAAGTGTCTGAGGGAACTCCAGAGGACAACCAATTTATTAAAGTCCTAAACAAAACGCACTCATGCGGTCTCCTTAAGAAAATCGAAAGCCTTGATCTTCGTAGTTGTTGTGGATTTTCTTGCTTGAGAAATTCGACATTGGTCCCTATTTATAGCAAATCATTCAGTAGGCATGAGAATAAAAAGCCTAGACATTTCTGTTTATACTGATTCAAGAATAGACTGTTTTTCATGTACCAGCTATCTAATACTTCTATAATGCAGTCGATGTACAGGAAACAAAAAGGCATTAAGGTTCGAGGACTGAACCTAGCCATGTTTATAGATCAGGTGGAAGAAAAAGAATCCTGCATGCCTTTAGTTTTCACCATCCTTTTCTCTATTATGTGTCTCTGAGGCTGTGACTCCTTTTCTTTTTACATTTTTGTGGAGATGCATGTCAAGCCACATAATTCTTTGTACCCAAAAACCTTATCGTGGAATGTTATGGGTGTTTAGGCTCTCACATGTGATTTTGATTGGAACTGTTCTGAGCTTCTTGAGCTTATTTGATCCCTCATAATTTCAATATACCCCCCTAACGGTGTGACGGGGGTTTTCTGATAATAATGTCAGAAGTTTTGGGGTGTTTCTGAAAATAATATTGAAAGTTAGAAGGTTATGTGGAATGGGGTTACACCGTTAGGTTACATTGGCATATCAACATAGGAGGAAGTAGTGTTACGTGACACCACTTCCTCCAAGGATGACTGATAATTATGAAGTTTTTCTAGGTAATGAGTGGGATAGAATTAACTTCAATGGCAAAATAAGATTTTATACCACTTATTACATTCATGCATTTGCAAGCGTTATGCCCATAATTGCACAGGTGAGTTTTTGGTTTCTTTCTTTTGTATATCTAATTTTTTTATTTCTCTATCAGTTTTTTTCGGGTTATGCCCATGCGTCTAAAAATTTCTTTCTTTGACCTGTTGCTCCTTCAAAATTAGGTATTGAACTAGAGCATTTTTCCTATAAAGAAAATACAAAATAAGTGTGTGACTTATTTTGAAATTTAAAATTCAAATTATATAGCATATTTAAAAGAAGTGAAGAACACTTACTTGATTCCCACCTGTGGGAGATTTAGTATGAACTGAAGAATACATTGAGTTAAATCCTACAACATGAAGCAATCAAATAAAACATTGCAATTAGATGAGATATAAGTTTTGAAAAATGTATAAAATAAATTTAAAAATCCAAACGTTTATACCCTCCCAAAAAATCTTAAGAATCTATTAGAATTTCAATCTAATTATTAGGAAAAAATCAGATAAAGCAAGGAAAATTTGAGATAATTTTTTGAGTAATTATGTTAAATAATTTATTTATTTTGTGGATTTCTGAGAATATTTTATAATAGAAAAGTTTTTAATTTTATAGATTTTTACATGTTATATATTTTTTATGGTGTCTCGTGTTTTAAAAATATTTTAAAGAGATATGAATGAACCAATAATCCCTCTTTATAAAAATCAATAAAGACATGGTATCAATCAATAAACAACAAAAAAGTTGATTGATTCATCAATAATATCTTGAAGGGAGGATTAATCCATAAACTTTAAATACAATTTGACAGATGTCTAATTTTACATATATGACGTAAGGATTAATTTTAGAAAAAACCCCTTAGCTATTTTAATTTGAGAAACCCCCTTAAATTTGAGCATATTATAGATAACTCCACTCAATTTGAAAATTAGGGAAGAACCTTCTCAACTTATGGGTGTCTCACAAAACCCCTTTTATATTTCATGTTTTTCTCACCAAATCCCTTCGGGTCATTTCAAAATATAAAATAACTGAATTGCACATTTTTAAAATCAACTCATTCAGTTATAAAGAAACCCACAACTGATAAGAAAATCTTGATCAATGTACAATATCTTTTTCCTCTCTTCTTAGTCATCTACTTTGTCATGTGACATGTTAGACATAATGGTGTTAGCTTTCATGGTGTAATGTGAGAAGAGCTCATGAGGGTTTTACCAATTTTAAACTTGAGGGGTTATCTACAATAGGCTCAAACTTGAGGGGGTTTCTCAAATTAAAATAGTTAAGGGGTGTTTTCTGAGATACACCCCATATTTTAGGGGGCTTAAGTGATAAAAGTTCAAAAGGTTATCTCAAATTTTTTTAGGAGGGCTATCTACAATATGATCAAATTTGAGCTTGAATTTAAATAGTTGAGGGGATTTGCTGAAACACCCACATAGTTGAGGGTTTTTTTTAATTAATCCATTACATTATGTGGAGGGACTTTCTACATGAGTTTTTCTTTAATTTCCATATTTAAATATATGCTCATAAGATATTTTTTATTATGAATAGTTACAATAGGATAAAGATTATAAAATATTTTATTGATACAATAGATAGTTTTAATTCTATGAGTATTCTTAGGTGAATATAAGGTTAAGTGTCCCCGTGCCATATTTTTTGTAGGATAGAGATATATGTATATATATATTTCTAATGTGACACATATTAGTTTCACGGCCTTTATGATATGACACATGATAATTTTTATGCATTTAGAAGTTCTACCAATTTCTCTTTATATATAACTCAAACATGTAGCTAAGCATATAGTTGTCAACTTATCATTTGAAGCCTCAACCATGGCAACTTACCATTTGAAGCCTTAACCATGGTAAGTGGTTAACCATTTAATAAGATCCGTATTTTATAATTTATACCTTACTTATTGCCAATTTAAAACAATGGTAATTGTCAAACTACGACATTCGTATGAAGTTTTTTTTCCGCATTTTACACCACTTACTACCTTAAGAATTGGCCAAAAAGATTGATAGTGCCCATATTGACTATAAAATCATGGATAATTTTCAAGTATAAAATAATTTAATTTGTAAAATTTTTAATTGTTAATTATGTGGTGACACTACTTTCTAGAAATTCTGGACCCGCCACTGATCAGGTAGGTATGTTGAAAAAATTGTAAATGTTTGGATTTTGTGAGAAACGTGAAATTTTTTGGGGGTTATTTGACAATCTTTATAGTTTATTTGGGGGTTTAGTGGGGAAAACAAAGTTCAAGGGCTTTATAAGGATGCTCCTCAAAGTTTCGGGGGATTTTATGAAATTTACACCATAATTCCCTGGGTCGGGTTGGAGGAAACCCCTACTGAGAAAGCAAGAAAGCACATTGTTAACCGAAAACTCGATTGTTGGAGGTTCACCGGCGGTCCGATGACGAATCTCGACCGTCCGATGGAAGAAACTGACGACCTAGATCCCCGCGCTCGAGTCGCCTCTCTTTGTCGTAGAATCCAGGCAAAACCCTAAACCCTCTCTCTTTCCTTTTCCATTCCTATTATTGTGTTTCTTCTTCTTATTTTTTTATTTTATTTTATGAAAATTGCAGGAATTAGAGCGGGAGAATGAGAGATTGCGTTCCCAATTGTCAATCTGCAGCTGCTCCAAGGTATTTAAAAAAAAATCTTTTTTCTATTTTAAGAAGTTTGAAAACAGCATATTCAATGTATTTTTGAAAATATATAGTTACTGTGAAATCTTTTAGAGAATTTTTTTTCCTCATGTAGGTCTCTTCGATCTGGAGCTACGTTATATTTTTAACTAGATACAAAAAGTATCATCGATTGGTAGAATAATCTCGGGTTAATTTGATTGTTGGTCACTGTATTTATCTCTTAATTGGACATTCCTACCTGTGTTAATTTGCTCGCTAGTCACTTGTAATGCTTCTTGTCAATTTGAGTTGTACAGTTTCCTTTATGTTTAAGCAATGCAACTTATTCAATATGTCAAAGGTATTTCTTTTCAAGGAAAAAAAATGTTAAGTAAGGTACAATTATTCAATACAAGTCGACTGATATATCACAAATTTTCATTTTCATAAGTGATCGACATATTACACGGAAAAAGAAATTCGTTATTACAAATTATCAGCACTTTTTTAATGTCATGTCAGTGAAATCCTTATGTCAGTTGACGAAAACATTAGAACTGACTAATGATCTAATTAGTATTTAATTACATGACCAGCCATCCAAGCAATTAAACTATAGGTATGAACGTCCAATTAGTTGATAAATACAGTGACTAGCAATCCAATTAACCCAAATAATATCTGATACATCAAGTTTGGGTTTTTGAAGTTCTGACAAACTTTGCACCAGGAACCTCTAAGCTCCTACATATAGAGGATGCGTGAAGATGCATTGTTTGCTGCACTCAAAATTCTGGAGTTAGAAACTTATCAGTTGCTTAATGCTTAGTTATGCATTCTTCGTGTAAACACAAGTCCAAAATTATTCTTAAACAGTTCATATGGAAGAATTGTAGCAAACTAGATCGTTCGAGAATTACTATGTTAAATCAGTGTGGATTTAACTAATATTTTTCATGCCTGTGTCATGTAATTGGTACATTAATAATAACGACTACTATGGAACCGCAGTTTTTGATACTAAGCAAACATGTATTATTTAAGGTTTCAAAGTGGTTTATCATGCTGGTCAGCTTCTGAGACCCAGGAACACTTTCATGTGTAATGTAATGTAGGACCTGATTACGTCACTTTTTCATCTTTGTATATCACTAATCATCAATCTCAACATTTTCTGCCAGGAAAAAGATGCAAGATCTTGTACTAGTGAGTTTGTAGGTGTTAATGGCACTTCAAAGGGAGGATCTCAAGGCAATGCATTTCTTGAAACTACAGAACTTGCTAAGAGCTTTCCTCCAGATATTCCTTTGACATCCCCTAGTGCTCTTGCTGAGGTGAAGCTTAACTCTGATTAAGCTTGGTCATTGTGTTTGCTCTTTAAGAGAATTATCCGTATGACTTGAAAATTGTGTAAATTTGCTAGTAGGAACCATTCGATTATTTACATTTGGAAAAGTCTGCCAAATTTTCAAAGCTTCGCCTGAAGGATCAACCAGGTATTCTATTTTTTATTGTTCAGTGTTTTTATTTTTTATTGGATTGGTGCATGCAAGTTCTCTTAATGATGCATGAAATAACTAGAATCTTTACGCAACATATGTGCTATTTCAAACTTGTTAATTAAGGTCCTGAGAGCTTATCTGCATTGTCAAAGCCAAAGATAATAATTTTGTGTCAAAAGGAGAATCTAGTTGGTGACAGGGTATATTTTGGTCATTAAATTAATGCATGTTTCCTGAATTTAGTTAAACTCGAAGGTAGTTCTTCACTTCTTTGGCCTCTATCCTTTGTTAATTTTTCTCTTTCAGTGTCAAAATTTTGGTACATCAACTTCAAGCCTTCAACATCCATAATGACTTATACTGGTGTTGAGTTTTGGTCAATTTTGTTCTCTTTCTTGTGATATACATGGAAGTTTGAAGTATATAACTGACAGCATCCCCATTGATGTCCCCACAGTGAGTCTGAGCACTAAGTGAATATATTACCAAAGAATTGAGGCTCAACACAATAAGCGTACCAATGGATACTCATTGCAACTAATAGTCTCTCTCTCTGTCAATAGTTGAAGTGGAAAAATTATTGAAGCTTGGGAGTAGTTTTTATAGCTCCAATAGAATATTAAAGGGCAAGAACTAGCAATCATCCAGTTGTGTTGGAGATTGCTCCTTCAATCTTTTCTTTCAGTTATGACATCTTTTATTGCACAATCATCAGATGTTATTCATTAATGATTGTGAATGACAACACTGGATGTATTGTTTTGAAAACTTATGATGATATTTACAGATATCGTAATCCACATTTTGTGTATGCAGGTTGCCAACCAAGTACCATGCAAGTTTGTGCGAAGAGATATGTTGCTCTAAAGGTTATGTATTTTGGCAAGAGGTCAATATTCAATCCTGTCTTTTGCACTATTGACTTTACAATAGCATATATTCCAAAGTTTATGATATCCAAAAACACCCACATGCAGACTAGGGCTGCAAGGATATACCTGGATTCAACCGGATCTGTTTGATTTTGATCTGACGCCTACATGAAATCTTGAACTGTGTATTGGATATGGATCCATAGCACAATCCGTAAGTTCAATGAGTTCACTTATAAATCTAAAAATTTAGACCCGTCCTAGCAAAATCAAAATGGATCCATTGGACTTGAAAAAACTTAGTTAAACATGGGTGGTCTACAAAAGAAATAAACTGCTAACTGAAGGAATGGGCCGGATTTTGGTTTAGATAATAGATCAATTTCCAGCTTGGTTTAGATTCAGGTGTAGTTAATCGGATTTGAAGCCAATGATATCTCAGTGGCGTCCAACTGTTTGCACATATTCTTTAAAATCATCTCTCATTGCTATGCTTGCTACTAGCTACAGAATATGTTGATTGCATTAACAAATATATATAAAGCATTAATTAATACCAGATTTGAAGCCATTGGTAGATCAGTGATTTTCAAAACACTCATAGTGACACGATATCCTTAGACATGGCACAGTTTCACATATATATTATTTTATTGTAGTAACAAGTAGTTGTACCACAGAAATGGTCTTTCGGACTATATAAGAAGCTACGCTGTAACACCTACCACTGAGAGGCCTGAATCCTGGCCATGGTGGAGAGTATTTGCAAACCTATTGATATTGAGAAGATGATGAATGAGAGCACTTGGAGTGAAGGAGTGAGAAGACAGGGAGAGACACTCTTTTTCCTTTATATTACCCCATGAAGTGTGGTAATTGTCCTTTTTGTAGTGTGTTTTCACATTAGTCATGCTTACTTGTATATAGATGGGGATTTCCATTCTAATACTTCATAACAACTCTAATTTTTTTAATTAATAGGTGGTCATTTATATTCTGTCACAATTCATGATATTTCAGGTTTTATGGCTTTGCTTCAGAGGCACAAATGGATCCAACTATTGAGGTGTTTACTCTTATCATTGTCTCTTTTTTGTTGTAAGCTATAATCAGAGGAGAGAGAAAAAGTCTCTTTCTTAATGCTTGCACTGGGACATGTGGCTTCTCGTGCTGGGTTGTGTTAACTACAAGTCTAGAATATAAAGTACGTAGTGTCCATGAAGTAAAGCCATATTTAGTCACAAAGTTTACTGTTTAAATCGACATTTTTGAGAGGAAAATAAATGAGACTTTAGTGCTTCTTGATCTTAGTTCCACATCCTAGTTACTAGGGATGCCAACTCATCCGGCTGTGGATTTGCCACTGTTTTTAACTCGAGTTACGAGCATAACTATAAGGTGCACCAAGGGTGAACTGCCAACTGACGCTGAAAAACATGGAAATAGGTCAAAGAAAAGAAGTGGTAGCTATCTGAGATTGAACTTGTAAAAAACCTACAAATGATATAATGATAATACTCTAGTAGCCTTTATGGAAACTTACACAAGTTCACAGCAAATTCTATTTGGATATGATACATAAATTTTGAAAAAGTAAAGAGTTTTCTATGAGCGTATGAGTACTTCATGGATCAAGATCTTTAATAAGATTTTGTTCCATTAACTGTGGAATATTTTCAATCTGCTCTATCTGAGTTCCGCCTTGAAGTGCATTCTATTATTGACAAATCTTGTTCTTTACCATCCAAACTATACAGTTCCTATATAAGTTGTAAGATTGTAGTAAAATTTAATGTAATGTTCAGTAAACTATAAAGGGCTTAGTGTTCATACTGAAGCAAAATGTTTTACTCGTTAGACGGGCGGGTATGCTGCGAGATTAGATAGCTGGTTAATGGTGTTTGGCACTTAAAGCTGTTCTTTAAACATAAATTTCAGTAGGCAGCTATAGATTCGTAGTTCTCCACGTTATTTACTTCCATGAGAAGGTTGTGTAAGAAGTGATTATTTTCGGCTCTTCAGCATATTTTTCCCCTCGCATATTGATCGAACCAAGTAACTCCCTATAACAGCTCTTAAATCATCTACTCCCAGTTCAATGGCCTTTGTGCCTATTCCTTGGGTTGTATGAGCTTAAATTGCACGAGCTAGTGACATTTATTATGAACGAATCATCAAAATTCATGGCATCCCACTCTTGCTATGAACTTCCATCAAACTGCATCTCAAAATTCATGGCATCCCACTCTTGCTATGAACTTCCATCAAACTGCATCTCAAGTTGAAGGCCAGTCATAAAACTTGATCAATTTTCCTCTAGAATTTCTTGAGTTTGAATTGTATTGCGTAGCTGACTTGACGGGAAAGATGATGATTATAATCATAGTATGAAATAATAGAGAATTCACATTTTTTATGTAATGCTATCTTGACTGCACCTTACACTGTTTCTATTTTCTTTTGGTTCTCAGTCTGAGGTTTTCAAAGCACTTGAAAGGACAAAGCTTTTGGTTGGTAGTAGAACAGAATCAAAGTATTCAAGATGTGGCAGGACTGACAAGGGAGTCTCTTCTAGCGGCCAAGTATATTTTTATCACAATAACTTTATCTAGTTTTTATGCCATAGCTTTCATTTTCAGAACTTTAAGAGTCTTGGTTGCCATCTTAATAATCTACATCCATTTTCTGGTTAAAGATTAATTTGTTGAAAGATCTGATGTTTGGAACTGGAATCTAAATGTTAATATATTTAGCAAAGCTCCCTAGGTCCCAGTTCCCTGGGTAAAAGTATCCACGGTTACATTTTCAAGTAAGATATCTCTGGAATCTCCTTGAAGTCACCTATTAACATCCGATAGTCAGATAAATCAATTCATTTGGTTAGCATTTGCATTTCTATATATTTGTTTGTCCGGTCGGTTCGATCATTTACTGCATAATGGCTGCATGCCATTATGCTAACTACATTTTTTGTTGTGGCCCCAGTTTTTGCAGTAATCCCATCGATATGTTGTGCATATGACTTGCACAAAAATTCAACCATTAGCATTATAAATCATTATACAGTTATACTTTAGATAGATTTATTAAGAGATGTGCTCATCTAGCCTAGAAATAAACAAGAGTTATTAGCACTGAACTTATACCTTTTACTTTCATAGCTAGTGTACTTTCATAGCTAGTGTACTTTCATAGCTAGTGTATGCTTTCGTTACATTTTCATTATTGGAGATTTGGTTCATCTAAAAAAAAGGATAAATTTGTTGAACTAGCATCATGCTGGATATGCAGACAGGTTCTGTAATACATTGATGAGAGGTATCTGCTGCAGGTCCTTTCTCTATATTTGCGATCAAACCTGAAGGACGCTGAAGGCAACATCAAAAGTAAGAACATGCTGAGAGAAAATACAGATTATTGCTATCGTGTCATTTGATTTGTATAAAAAAGTAATTTAGTCTGATTTGTTGTGTTTTTTTATTAAAATTGAAAGAGAGCGTCCATATTAGGGCATTTTTTTCATGACCATAGATTGAATAGTGGACATTTCTGTTGGCTGTGCTGTGTTTTAAGAGAAGCGTGGAGATATTTCCCACTACATAAAATTTACCTGAAGATGTCCTTTCTGATGTGAAATTGACTCTCTTGTTTATCTTCAGAGCAGGAAATTGATTATGTAAAGGTGCTGAACAGAGTCCTCCCATCAGATATTCGAGTAGTAGGCTGGTGCCCGGTTTCCACTGATTTCAGTGCAAGGTTTTTGCTGTTCTTCCTATTATCTTCCTGCAATCCAAGCCCATAAAATTAGTATGATGTTGATTTTTCCTCCATCTGTATATGATCATGTTAAAATGTTCCAGATTTAGCTGCTTGAGCAGGGAATATAGGTATCTTTTCTGGAGAGGAGCTTTGGATATAGCGGTAGGTTACATAGTATTAGTCCCATCTGTATGTTAGTTACTACATCCCTTTCTTGACTGTAAACTAGATGTTATCAGTTCTTCTTCCTTATGCTTTCATAACCAGGCAATGCGGAAAGCTGCTGAAAAGCTCATTGGGGAGCATGACTTCAGAAATTTCTGTAAGATGGATGCAGCAAATGTGAAAAACTATAAAAGGAAGATAACAAAATTTGATATTTCTCCTTGCAACCAAAGGTATGTTATTGTTTATTATAAGGAAAAGGTTATCAATAGGTAAATAAGTATTTTCCGAGACGCCTTCAAAACTCTATTTTTGTTTTCAAAATAATGTATAAATGGATAAATATCACTGGTGATATGACTACAATGCTACATGTTGTGCTTTAGATTTCTCCATTAACTGTGAGATCCATCAATGATGAATATCATCAGGAAAAGGGTTGTTAGGATTGACTCGATTATCTAATTTTTATTATGCATGCCAACCATCTATCCAATCGTCTAATTCTAGTACACGTGAATGCTGCATGGAATCTTCATGTTATCTATTAAAGATTGCATTATATCTCCATATCAGTGACTTTCGTCATTAATCTACTAGGCCTTTAATGTTTCTTTCTCGATGGATGTGTTTCATGTGAATGAGATGACTTATGTCGAAGAATTACAACTGAATTATGAACTTGGGTTTGTTGGAACTTGGAAACTTGACTTATTAAAAATGAACTAGTCATTATTGCATTTCAGCTAGCATGCCATGTCATGCATATGCCAGAAGCCTTAACAATGTCACTCTGTGAAGTTCATGTAATATTGTAATGTGAACACTTTTACCTTCTTATGAACCTGGATGCGTCTTTCCTTTGGTTGAAATGTCATATGCAGTTATTGCCCCAGCATTTGTTGGCTTCTTTTTTTTAAACCAAAATCTTACTTATACTATCTTATCTTGATGAATGGATAATGTATTCAATTTTTCAGTCAGGAAAGTATTTGTTGTGTATTTTAACCCTGCAGATTAGACCATTGGGCTTTCGAGTCATTTGATAGCTACAATGTTGTTTACTCTATGCATATGAAACGGTATGGTTGTGCAGATTTGATGTTGACGAACTATGGGCAATCACAGTTAAGGGTAGTGCTTTTCTGTGGCATCAAGTCCGTTGCATGGTTTCAGTGCTATTTATGATTGGTCAAGGCCTTGAATCTCCTGATGTAAGTACATAAAGTCTTATCATATTGCTCAATTTATTTGCATGTTCAACACAATATATAACCTGCTGAAACAATATTATCAATATCCAGTACAAGTAATAAAAAAAATTTGCCATCTTACTAATTGGTTTTCTTGACATCAGTGTAGCATGATACAACTGGTTGTTAATGAGTGTCACAAAAAACACAGGTGATACTTAATTATTTGCAAAGATCACTCACTTTTCTGGCACTAGCCAAATGACATGTTAAGACTCGATTGTTCTGAGACATAGCCTAGTACCATTCAGAGTTGCATTTATCTGCTAATTAACTTGAGAAGTTGGTTTTCAGTTTATATCTTCTATTTATGAGCATCTTCTTTTAAATTGTTTCTGATGTAGGTAGTTGATGTGCTACTGGATATTGAAATGACTCCAAGAAAACCTCAATACACCATGGCAACCGAACTCCCATTGATTCTACAGTTTTGCGAATTTAAAGATGTCAACTTTATTTGCTCCTCAGGTAATGTTTCAGAAGTTGTATGTGTGTTAACATAAAATAAGGTCACTTTTTTGTGCCTAGACTCACATTTTACATACTCCGAAAAGGGACCCTTGCCACCATTGATACTGTTCGACCAGGGTGATAAGCTGTACCACTGATAGTAGCATTTAAGTTTTCTGTTTTAAGTGAATCAGATATTTTAAATATCTTGGTCATATCCAAACATTTCACATGGTGTTTATGTTTTGCATGCTGGGTTAATCAACAATACAGAAAGTCATAGAATGATATACACATGCACAACTTTCCAACTATTTGGTCAATGCCACTGTGAAGTTTAAGGAGTGGATGATCACCAGAAGTCGTGAAAAGTCACAACACACAATTCACTGCAGAATCTTAAGAGCGACCAACTATAAAAGTGTGATTGCAAAATATACTGGAATGTCCAAAGTTAAGAGAGAATAGCTAGCTTTTGTTTTTTGGGTGAACACTGTTTGCATTGACTGTGTATTTTGCCATCATTCTAAACTATTGGCAGAATTTATGTACTAAAATACAGTTTAGCTGTAGTATAATCAGGGGGTCTCTCGAGCAAACAACCAAGTGAGCCTAATATCAGACAATTATTGTGCCTGGTTAAATTACAAGATCACATCAACTTACAAACTCATACTGGAAGAACATGTTGGCCCATTGTCCGGTTAAATGTGGATGATGGCGTGCTCTGATAAGCCTTCTCTAAAATCAGTTCTTTTCCCTATTATTAATTTAAAGTCCAAGTTAAGAGGAGCGGTATTTGGACTATGCATTACTAGCTATAACTTTCCTGTATTACTTGATGCATTTCATGCATGATTGGAAATTGAGAATAAATGTCAGGACACCGACAGGTAAGAAGCACCTGAGCACTCAAAAAGAGCACAAAATTTCAATGTTACATTTACAGAGGCGAAACCTTACTTCACATGAGTGTCAATTAATATGTTAATTTTCAAAAGTATATGAAAGCGTACGTACCAACCTTTAAAAGTACCTTTTCCTTTCAACGTGGCTCCTGCCTCAATATGAAACTGTTTGCCTTTCTTTGGGGATTGCTCTAAAGGTTCGTGCATTTATCATCTTTCATTCCATTTCACACGTGACTAATAGACAAATGATGCTGGCATTGATTTATGTAGAGTCCAGACGAGCTTTGCACGAGCACTTGACCAATGAATTACGAACATATATGCTGCAAGCTGCTATTTATCATGAGACATTGAGTTGTTTGTCCACTCCCGGTGAGAAAGTCAACATTAACAACCTTAATCCTTCCTTTTTTTCCCCTTTGGATAAATTCATGTAATTCAATGTAAATGCAGAAGAAGGTCCATCCGAACCTGGGAAGAAGAAGCGGGGTCATGTTCCTCTCATTCTACGGCCAACTGAACGTAAGTCAAATGATCGTCTGAGCTCATGTTTAGAGTTTATACCTTCAGTTTTTGACAAGTCCTATTATTCTTGGTAACTAAAAATATAGGTCTAGGATTTCAATTGATCTGCATGCAGAGGATTGCAATTACACTTTGTTTTCCAATCACAGTTTTTTTAAACCTTGTGCTTTCACCTTTTCTCTTTCTTGTTAGTCCCTCCCTTTTTTAAAGAGTAAATCTTTCTGCTTTTGATCCTATTTTTGACAAGTTTTATTTTAATTATTCCAGCATCATTTGATGAAAGGCGTGCCAAACTGGATATGAGAACTATCTATGACAGCTAATAACTTGTCCTTAGAAAGTTCTGGTGAAGAAGCTGATGGAGCTTTTAGAAATTTTAATGTGTGCTGGTGAGTTGGTCAACTTTTATATAGGAATATATTATGTTTATAGTTAACTTATTTATTTATGGGTTAATTGCGAAGAGTCCCCTCTAGCATCACTCAATTGCAAAGAGACCCCCTGTAGTTCTATTCGTTGCAAATAAACTCCATTTAGTTCTACTTGTTGGGAATAAACCCCTGCAGTATTGGTCCAAGTGCAAATGCACTCCCTTAGTGAACTTTTTCAACTCTTTTAAAAGTAATATATATATATATATATATATATATATATATATATATTAGATTAAGATAGGAATGATAGATTAGATAGAAGAGAGAGAGAGAGAGAGAGGAAAAATAAGACCTTGGTAACCAAGTTGCTTAAAGCAACTTGGTAGTGATTGCGGCCTAATTTTCCCCCCCTACATCACACCTCGAAGATAAGCACTCAACCACCCTTCACGACAACTCCAATGTAAGATGTAGGGGAAGATTATGCCATATCACTACGCAAGTTGCTTTAGAGCAACCTTAAGCAACTTGGTACCAAGTTTTTCATTTCTCTCATATATAAATATATATACTATATATATATAATATACATCAGGAATATGGATTCTTGTACAAAGAGCACAAAATTGTGCTAGTGAGGGGCATATTATGCCTCCACTCATTCAAATGGGGGGACCACATTTCACCGATGGTTGAACGGGTCGCCCCCAATTGAATGATGTATGAGAATGAGACATCACTACAAGTACAAATTGTGCTTGGACCAGTATAGCCCATCTCTCTCTCTCTCTCTCTCTCTCTCCTATATATATATAGTATATTATATATATATATATATATATATATATATATATATATATGATAGTTGGGTGGCCTATACAGAGGGTCTCTTTGCAACATGGGTTATGTTCGCAACTAACCCTTTATTTATTTACCTTTTTTCTGTCATTATTACCTGCATTGATTTGCCTTTTTCTCTTACCCCATATTTACTGTAGTTACAGTAGAATTGACTTTTATTCCTTTTTGTTTTTCTATTTTTTTTTTGTTTGTTTTTTCTCTTTCTTTCTTTCTTTTTTTTTTCTTTTTCATTTACCTCTTTATCAAAAAATTGTGCATGTATATAGCAGAGATATTGATTCAAGCTTAAAACTTTTCTGCTTTTGATTAGTGTATTGTACACCAAAATATGATTTGAATGAGAAGGTGCAGAAGTGGAGTCAACTCTAGAATCAACGAGTCTCAATTGAAGAAATGTAACTTGCCAAATGCTGAAACTTGGAACCTATAAGGCACTGTGCAGCTGGTTACATATTTTGTGTATCCAACACTGAATTTAATCATATTAGTCATGATAGACAGCTTATAATCTAGTTGTCTATGGTTCTTTTTTTTTTTTTAATTTACAGTGCCCAAAATATTATTTTCTTCAGTGGCTAAATGATTTTTCCACCCATATGCAGATAGTTGGAGCAAAGAGAGACCTCGCAGTACGAAGCTAAGCTCGGATCTGTTATTTGCACTTCTGGCACAGGCTGAATTCGGAAACATAGTATTATCATGTTTCCTCCAATATTTGTGCTTGTATTATTTTTTCAAAAAAAAAAAAGTCCTTTTTAATTATCATATTCTTCTAAGTTTTCATAGACAACTGTAGTTTTGTGTTTCCACTTTCGACAATGAGATACATCAGTGAACAAGGCAGCCATGAAGAGGATTTCAAGTCTTGTTTTTGCATTAGAGGTTAATGCAGTTTCCTTGCAATTTTTCTGCTTCAATGTGATATTTGTGTGAGTACTGTTTCAAATTGAGGTTAACATCAAAGAATTCTGCTCATACTTTGCTCGAGTTTTTGTTGCAAATTAGGCTATTATTGTAAAGTTTTAAAGCATCATTCTGTTATCAAAAAGCTTAAGGTACTATTTACATAATTTTTCTCGACCTTTTCCTTTTCTTTTTTTGACTCAGCGGATTACAAGATTAACAATGCCAAAACAGGAAAGATGTGCTTCGGTCTTCATATTTTTAACGCAAGGGATGGCTTTTCCCCCTTAAATTTGAATTTAGAGAATTTCCAAAAATGGAGGTGTTCATCATTCTTTCGGTGCGACAAGATTATTCAGATAGATTATATTTGCATTTCATCATATATGTAAAATGCTTAAAGCAAAAAAAAAAAAAAACTTTACCGAAAACAGATTAAAATGCTAAATGCTTTGGATTTGTGCGTACCTATCTTTTCTAATGAACCCCATTTGTGACTTACAATCTCAGATAAATTTCGGAAAATGCCATGTGTATTAAGAGTTGTACTACTCTTATTTTCTCTTTACGTTATTTTCTCTTTACAATTTACAAGAAAATCTCAAATAGTTTAACTTTTACGGTCTACTCTTAGATTTGTCTTTATCACTAATCCTGGTTTTAATGGGTTGTACTACACGTGGCCCCCTTTTAAACGGGGATTAAACTTCTACCAACTTTCGTTTTATTATGAAAAAGGATAGGGACACATCTCCCCAACCACATCCCAAACCAAACATCCTCTCTCATATGCTACAATGCACCGGACTCCACGTGAGATTTTAAAATTTTAAAATCATATGTGGGGCCTGGTACACTGTAGCATATGAGAGAGTGTTTGTTTTGAGATGTGATTGAGAGTGTGCCCCTAGTACCACCAAAATTATACGCGGTTGATGATGGTACTATTATTACTGCCGCTACTGTCATTATTATTTTGTAGATAACGTGTCTCCGACTCAACTGCAACCATTCATCATCAAGCTTCTCGCATTGTACTTGAGCTTTCTCCTTGTTCTTATTATATTATTAAAGGAGAATCCTAAGGTCCACGTGTCTCTACTTTAGCCTCCACAATTATTTCCTCTGTTTTCTTTTTGAAGACGACACCTTGGTCAATGTGGGCCTTTGCTCCGGCTCCCTGCGTTGGCGCTATTTTGCCAAAACTGTTGAAAGCAGGATAGCGGCCCATTCAAACGGGAGCATCTTGTCCTTTGGAATTACTAAACTGCCCCTTTCCTTTTCTGTCCCTTCATCACCTGTTTTTTGTTCGTTTTCTCATGATACAAACTGTCAAGTGATAAAGAACATAACTCTTTATAAATTTACAATTGACTATCTATTAATCGCTACGATCTCACAACGTAAAGCTCGCGTTGACCGGCTTTTACCAGTTTAATCTCAATTGGAGAGTACAATCTTATCATCACCGTCACACACCTATTACTTGTGATTTCAGAAGGCGGCCGATATTGTTTAACAGAAACCTAAGAAAATTCACTTATAAAACTAGTTTATTAGAAGGGAAAACCTCAAACATCTGTAAAATCTATTATTAACTCCATCATTAAATCAATATTATGCGTAAGGCGATGTATAAGCATAAGAAAATCATGTATACTAGTCGAGAAGAGGTGACAGATTTTTAAAGAAAAACATAAAACTATAAGCATTTATCTACCAAGCGACAGATTTGTTCGGCTGCACAATTCCTCCGAAAAAAATATTACGCACATTTATCCATTATTAGCTTAAAGAAAAAAACTAAAATACAGTCAAACTTTCTCTTTCCTCATCCAAAAAAAAAGAGGGAAAAGAAAAATAAAAAATTCTGACGAGTGGCACTTCCGTAATTAATTAACTTCCAAGGCCCTTTTTGCCAACCAGCGATAGAAAAGAGAGCTTGACAAAATCCCAGGCAACAGCAAGCGAGGGAAACTCGGATCAAGAAAACCGCGCATTTTCCCCAAAATAAATAGGGGGGTAAAAAAAAAAAAAAAACAAGAAATCCGAACAAAAGTAGAGATCCTAAAATAGACGAAGCTGGAATCCAATGGAGGCTGCAATGGATCTGATGAGGAGAATACCTCCGAATCAGAGCGAAATGGCGCTCTCCGCTCTCCTCTCCCTTCTCCCTCATCACTCCGCCGATCTCCTCTCTCAAGTTGACCAGCCCCTTCAGGTTCCTTCTCTTCGATTTGATTCTCTTTGTTAGGGTTTTACTTAAAGATTCGGTTTTGTTATCTGGGTTCTCTTTTATTTGTTCTCGTGTGGAAGGAATCCTGCTCATCTCGTAATGCTCTTAACTAGGGTTTTATTCTAGAAGGTAGTTATTGTAGCACGTGATGCTATTGCTAATGCCCTTCAATTTGCATTTTCCTAAAATTAGTGGGGTTTCCTTTCCTAAGGTTTAGGTTCATGAATCTTGCTTAATTTTTATGTTCAGCTCTTTAAAAGGTTTATTGGGGCTTTTGCTATTTTTTTCAGTTAAAATCCTCTGTGGGTTATCACTTGGCAATTTCAATCTATATATACCCGGTTATAAACCAATCTCATTTATAGAGAAAGGAACTTAAGATTCAAGGAGACTTAAACTGTTATAACTCAGTTAAAAATCATATAGTTCTGAATCAAGTTGATTGATTTCTAGCATATGCTTATCGAATGGGACTAATTTATTATGGCGACCTTGTTGTTGATTTGGGACATTTTAAGGGAAAGATGTCTATATAGCAGAGTTCATGATTCATCATCACTTGTTGATTTCTAACGGTCCCACAATGTGGTACTAATATCTGTACTGTTCTTGTAATGTAATTAGTAGTCCTCGTATAATACCTTCAAGCTCATGGTAATCTCCTCCGCCTCCAACACCGCTTTGTATTTCCCTTTATTTTCATGTTTTTTTGCTTCCCCCAGTAAAATGGGTTCAGGCCCTTACCCCTCAAAAGATCTTGATTAAATTGGATCCTAATTTAGTTTTCTTATAATATTTTATCAACTTCACTGTGAAATCTTGTATTTCGCTACATGAAAAATCTCTTTACTGGACAACTTATCTTGATTATGTTGCTAGTTTTGATCACCCATTGTAATGCTTTATCTTGAGTACTTGCAGGTCTTTTTTGATGAAGAGTCTGGGAAGGAGTTCATACAGTGTGAGTACAACAGAGATGCCGATTCATATAGGTGAAAATGGGCAACAAGATCGTGGTATTTTATTTTCAAATTCTTTAAAGGGCCTGTGCATTTGACACTTTATCGTTATGATCTCGTGCAGGTCACCATGGTCAAACAAATATCACCCTCCTCTGGAAGATGGATCTATCCCTAATCCCCAGTTAAGGGAACTCGAAGTTGAAGCAAATGATATTTTCGCTGTCTACCGTGACCAGTGAGGTCCTTTACTTAATCTTTGTGAATGTCATTGCTTTGATAGTAATGTAATCGAATTTGAGTCTGATTACTTTATTGAGTTCTATCCCGTTCCTAAAACATTAATGCTATTATTTTTCTTGTTTTGCATCCTTAGGTATTATGAAGGGGGTGTTTCATCAGTGTACATGTGGGAAGATGACAATCATGGATTTGTGGCTTGTTTCTTAATAAAGAAAGGTTTGGTTGCAGGGGATTATGATCTCATAATTCTCATTCTACCGTAAAAGTTTTAGTTGCACTAATATGTTATTGAAAATGGGTATGTAGATGGATCAAAGAAGGCACATGGAAGAAGAGGTTACTTGCAAGAGGGCTCATGGGAAGCTATTCATGTTATTGAGGTGAAACACACTTTTAATAGAATCTTATAGTTCTCTTCAAATGGTGGAATTTTCCTTAAATTTTCTAATTTTGGCTAACTCCTCTGTCCTGAGTTCTAGTTAATCTCATTTGTGTTTAATAGGTGGGGATAGAGGATGAGGGAGCAGCTCATTATTGTTTAACAAGTACGGTGATGCTATCATTGACCACAGAAAACAAACCATCAGGAACTTTCAATTTGTCAGGATCAATCAGAAGACAGGTACTATTTTCTAAACTAGGATATGGAGCTTCTATTTCCTAGCTGAGTCTTATGGACTTGAGACCATAAATCATATCTTTATGACGAACAAAAGGCTGTTGGCTTCTTTATCTAGCTCCTTTAAGCCTTTGTTACCTCGACATTCCAAAATAAACTCTTATTTAGTCTAACAATACTTAAACTTTGATTCATCATGAGGGCATGTTCGTCATTTGTAGTCACCATAGCCTTGCATGACCTGCAATTGATTCTGAACCTTGTGATGCATTTTGAAATCACAATGGGCATGCTAGAGATAACAGGTCATTTTATCAATCATCGTGCTATGAAATTTCTCCTTTTATACCTTGTGCTACAAGTTATTTCATAGTGCTGCCTTCTTTTTAAAGATGACCACTGCAATAGGGATGCTAACTTAGCTTGCTGGCCCCGCCTCCAATCTGTGTACCGTCATTTTCTATTTTGGGAAAACTGATTCTAATTTGGGCTGCGAACTGGTCGAAACCACTGTTTTTAACAATTGAGTTGTTTCTGGTAGGAAACATCTCTTACAGTTCCCAGGATGCTGAATTTTGTTACTTGCCTCCCTTGTTAGGCCATACATTTTATTAAGATGGCTTTCTTGGGTTTATACTTTGCAAATTTTAAATTTTTATGTCAGAGAAGGCCAATACTCTAAATTTTGTTCGAATTGTTCATGAAATAATCAACATACAGAACTAATAGTATGTTAACACAAGTGCTGACCCCTTCGGGTTGGATCCATATTCAACTTCAGGTCTTGCTTACCTTTGCAGCTGAGCACAGACAGATATTAAGAACTGTTCAGAATAGATAAAAATCAAGTAACCAATCAAATATTAAAAGAACAAGGGAAGGAGGTGGATAAAACGGTGAAAGCTAAAAAGGAATTCATTATTTTGCATGTCTTTTTTTTTAAATTTTTTTATTTGTTTCGGGATTGTTTCTCATTCTTTTAAAGAGAGTCGAAGAGGAAACAAAAAGACAAAGAATGAGAAAATCCGTTTGAGAAAATTGATAAAGCAAATGTCAGCTGAAAATGCAAAGCATATGGTTTAATTTAGGGGGGACAAATTATGACCCGACCCATCAACCAGACCCAACCCGACCCGTTTATAATAGGTGTGGGTCAAGTTATATGGGTCGGGTCATAAACGGGTCAACCCAAATTTACCCATTTATTAAATGGGTCAATTCGGGTTGACCCGACTGACCCGTTTGAGTTGAAAAAAAGGACCTTCTTCATTGACGTTGGCGTTTTCTTCACCGCCTGAGATTTGGGCAGGTGGCCACGCTTCCTCTTGGCGAGGGCTCCGTCATCTCCTCCTCATCCTCGGCTCCGTCGCCGTCGGGGGGCCAGGGGGCGGGATCTCTGATGAGATCTGTTCTCTTTCTTCTTTCTTTGAATCCTTTTGCCCTATTTCTGAGAACAGCTCACGGTGTAACTTTGTAACAGTAAAGACTTTGATACCCAGAGTCTTCGGCTGGCGATCGTCGTCGCTGGCTGTTGCCTCTGCTGAGCTTATCATGGATACTACCAAGAACGCGCGTTCGATCCTCTCGATCATCTCTTTTAGGGCTGGAGGAAGGCAAATATGAGGTTTTTTGCTCGCTGATTTTGACAGAGGTCGAGCTAGGGTTTGAGGCGCGAACGAAGTTGGAGAGGGAAAACTGCGAGGGTTTTTTAGAGAAGGGATCAGAGGAGGAGGAGGAGAAGCTCAGGCCTTGCTTGAACTTGGCAGCGCCTTCGCCTTTGCACGTGGGCTCGTCGTACTACGTTGCAGCTTTTTCTTCCTCTATTGAATAGAGGAAATGGACTGGTGCTTTGGGATTATGATCTCATAATTCTCATTCTACCGTAAAAGTTTTAGTTGCACTAATATGTTATTGAAAATGGGTATGTAGATGGATCAAAGAAGGCACATGGAAGAAGAGGTTACTTGCAAGAGGGCTCATGGGAAGCTATTCATGTTATTGAGGTGAAACACACTTTTAATAGAATCTTATAGTTCTCTTCAAATGGTGGAATTTTCCTTAAATTTTCTAATTTTGGCTAACTCCTCTGTCCTGAGTTCTAGTTAATCTCATTTGTGTTTAATAGGTGGGGATAGAGGATGAGGGAGCAGCTCATTATTGTTTAACAAGTACGGTGATGCTATCATTGACCACAGAAAACAAACCATCAGGAACTTTCAATTTGTCAGGATCAATCAGAAGACAGGTACTATTTTCTAAACTAGGATATGGAGCTTCTATTTCCTAGCTGAGTCTTATGGACTTGAGACCATAAATCATATCTTTATGACGAACAAAAGGCTGTTGGCTTCTTTATCTAGCTCCTTTAAGCCTTTGTTACCTCGACATTCCAAAATAAACTCTTATTTAGTCTAACAATACTTAAACTTTGATTCATCATGAGGGCATGTTCGTCATTTGTAGTCACCATAGCCTTGCATGACCTGCAATTGATTCTGAACCTTGTGATGCATTTTGAAATCACAATGGGCATGCTAGAGATAACAGGTCATTTTATCAATCATCGTGCTATGAAATTTCTCCTTTTATACCTTGTGCTACAAGTTATTTCATAGTGCTGCCTTCTTTTTAAAGATGACCACTGCAATAGGGATGCTAACTTAGCTTGCTGGCCCCGCCTCCAATCTGTGTACCGTCATTTTCTATTTTGGGAAAACTGATTCTAATTTGGGCTGCGAACTGGTCGAAACCACTGTTTTTAACAATTGAGTTGTTTCTGGTAGGAAACATCTCTTACAGTTCCCAGGATGCTGAATTTTGTTACTTGCCTCCCTTGTTAGGCCATACATTTTATTAAGATGGCTTTCTTGGGTTTATACTTTGCAAATTTTAAATTTTTATGTCAGAGAAGGCCAATACTCTAAATTTTGTTCGAATTGTTCATGAAATAATCAACATACAGAACTAATAGTATGTTAACACAAGTGCTGACCCCTTCGGGTTGGATCCATATTCAACTTCAGGTCTTGCTTACCTTTGCAGCTGAGCACAGACAGATATTAAGAACTGTTCAGAATAGATAAAAATCAAGTAACCAATCAAATATTAAAAGAACAAGGGAAGGAGGTGGATAAAACGGTGAAAGCTAAAAAGGAATTCATTATTTTGCATGTCTTTTTTTTTAAATTTTTTTATTTGTTTCGGGATTGTTTCTCATTCTTTTAAAGAGAGTCGAAGAGGAAACAAAAAGACAAAGAATGAGAAAATCCGTTTGAGAAAATTGATAAAGCAAATGTCAGCTGAAAATGCAAAGCATATGGTTTAATTTAGGGGGGACAAATTATGACCCGACCCATCAACCAGACCCAACCCGACCCGTTTATAATAGGTGTGGGTCAAGTTATATGGGTCGGGTCATAAACGGGTCAACCCAAATTTACCCATTTATTAAATGGGTCAATTCGGGTTGACCCGACTGACCCGTTTGAGTTGAAAAAAAGGACCTTCTTCATTGACGTTGGCGTTTTCTTCACCGCCTGAGATTTGGGCAGGTGGCCACGCTTCCTCTTGGCGAGGGCTCCGTCATCTCCTCCTCATCCTCGGCTCCGTCGCCGTCGGGGGGCCAGGGGGCGGGATCTCTGATGAGATCTGTTCTCTTTCTTCTTTCTTTGAATCCTTTTGCCCTATTTCTGAGAACAGCTCACGGTGTAACTTTGTAACAGTAAAGACTTTGATACCCAGAGTCTTCGGCTGGCGATCGTCGTCGCTGGCTGTTGCCTCTGCTGAGCTTATCATGGATACTACCAAGAACGCGCGTTCGATCCTCTCGATCATCTCTTTTAGGGCTGGAGGAAGGCAAATATGAGGTTTTTTGCTCGCTGATTTTGACAGAGGTCGAGCTAGGGTTTGAGGCGCGAACGAAGTTGGAGAGGGAAAACTGCGAGGGTTTTTTAGAGAAGGGATCAGAGGAGGAGGAGGAGAAGCTCAGGCCTTGCTTGAACTTGGCAGCGCCTTCGCCTTTGCACGTGGGCTCGTCGTACTACGTTGCAGCTTTTTCTTCCTCTATTGAATAGAGGAAATGGACTGGTGCTTTGATTCTTGAGATTCGGGTAGGAATTGGGGATCTTTTAACACTTTGATACTCAGAGTCTCCATCTTGATACCCTGAAAATATCATTTTAACACTCTGATACCCAGAGTTTGAGTTCAATTTCACACTGATGTGCTCTATATATTGTTTCAAATTTCAGTAATTTGTACGACGCATTTAGCTAATTCTAGAGTATCCACGTTAAAAAGAGATGCATATTTTGTGATATCAAAGTGTTATAAATAAAAGAAAACTTTATTGAGATGGTGTAAACTTTGGGTCATTCGGGTTATATGGGTCGGGTCGGGTAACCTATTTAATAAACGGGTCGGATCGCATTGACTCATTTATTAAACGGGTCGGGTTGGTCACACTTATACGGGTCGGGTCAACTATGACCCGACCCGACCCGTTTGCCACCCCTAGTTTAATTAGGCTTAAGAGAGATTCGTTCTAGAAACAAGCAAGTAGATGGACTGGAGGGAGAAGCAGATAGCCTGTGGCAGGTGGACGCTGTCATAGAAAATAATAATTGAGAAAGTCTATGTCCTCAAAATTGAAGAAAACTAGTGTAATCAGGTAAACAAGATTACACGGAACCAGAACTAGACTGAGAAAGCAATAAACCAATCTGCCATCAGTACCAAATGAAATCCTAAATATTTTACTAATAGAGCTGCATGTACCAAAGCAGATCCTTGAGTCTTGTAATAAAATCAAAATGCAGATTGAGGTGCTCAATCAGATGGACACTAGTTGAATGTTTCTCAGCGCGACGCAAGAATGCACATTTTTCTTTGGTTACTTTACCTATCTGGTTGTTAATCCTATTGTATTTGCCTACTACTGCAAAGTTCGATACTTTTCATGCCAATAGTGATTAACCTAGTTCCAAATTACAGATGAGTATGGACCTATCAACCGAAGAAGGTCATCTATGTAACATGGGGAAGATGATAGAGGAGATGGAGGGTAAGCTTAGGAACTCGCTGGATCAGGTATATTCTTCCCCTTTCCTCATTCCAATGATTTGCGAATATTAACTGGAGCCTCGAGTACTTGAGATACCATCCATGGGCTTCCAAATTTACAGGTTTATTTTGGCAAGACAAGGGAAATGGTTTGCACTCTGCGACCGCCACCTGAAGTGATACAACACAGGATGCCAGAGAGCTGATAGTGCTGGTGGGTAGTAAGTACGAGGCATAAACATCGCGGAGGTTCTGTACTTTCAGGAGCTACTAGCCTACTACATGTATCAGCTACATCAGTACAGATGACGATATCCTTGTGCTTTTATGTCAACAGAATGCGTACTTTTTACAAATAGTTCGCTTCCCAGTTCTCTAGTTTCCTCTCTTATCAGAGATGGATTGTGAAGGATAGGAATAAGTAAACACAAAAGAAAACATCCCTAAACATCAAATGCTTACTAACTTAAAATTCAGAGTAGGAATGTTAGAATGCAATTCGTGAAGCTCACACAAAATGACTCGAAGAAATTTATGAAGCATTGATAGAAGTCGCTAAAACCAAAGTTTCCACTGACTGACTATATGGGTACAATCTGAAGGCAGTACTTAAACGAGTCCATAATACTCCTCAAATATGCAGAACCAAGAATAACATTTTTAACAAACTTTCACCACAAAAGGAAATGGTTCATCGGAGTAACATACCAACTCTTTGCTCTATTCAAATTTAACTCCAGACACACAAAAGACATTATTAAGAGATCATCACTTTAGACCACAAAATACTCTTGGAGTGGAGTAAACCTCCCTACACCTTCCCTTCAGACTCGCTTGAAGCAGTAGCTGCAGCTGAGGTCTCTTCATTCGCCTTGTTCTCACCTTCTGCCTCCATATCTCCCTTTCCATCATCCTCTGCACAACATAAATAAGTGATGCATAATGAAACAATATTTCTTCCATACTTATAAATAGTTGAAACTCTTAGTATAGAATATAAAAATATAACCATCAACTCTCACCGCAACTTCGAGTTTTGGTGTAATTGGTTAGATTTTAAGAGCATATCAGCCACCCAGATTTAAATCTCAGCAGCCACAAATTTAAAACATATTTGCAAAAGCTAACTTTGTTGCATGAGTCCAAATTTTAACCCATATAAAGGACCTTCAACTAGCGGGGGCATGTTAGAATATAAAAATACTAACCCTCAACGCCTCAACCCTCACCACAACTTCAAAGTTTTGTTATCCAATGAGTTTTGTTATAATTGGATAGGGACTTCAAGAGAAACTACAGAAAGCAACAACCTTCAAAGTTCAACCAAAGTAACAATACACCCAGATCATAACACATTGATGATGGAAACCAATAATTACAGCAATCAACACCTAATCATGCCACAATGTATTATCCGAAATCTCACAAGGACTTCGATAAGTCAGGTAGTGATGTGTTATCTGAAATCTTATTAGAACTCAGATAAAATCATAATATTAATCCAAACCCCTATATTAATGACTAACCTGCTAGTTTGTCTGCATCAACATCAAAATCATCATCTCCATCGCCCATGTCCAACTTCTGCACAAGGAATAAACCATGAGCAGTTCATGAAATAAAATGTGATACATCTAATTCTAGCAAAAAGATGCACAATTTGCATCCTTTACATACCGAAAAATCCATATCACCGAAATCCATGTCTCCAACTGACCAAGTAAAAGGTTCAACAAGCACATTAAAGTTAATATCGAAGATAATCAGGGCATAATTTGAACGCGAAACATAGAGAAACTTAGAGCTCACCTTTGCCTTCCTTCTCATCATCTTCATCCATCCACCTATCCCAATCTACTTTCAAAAACACTGGAGGCTTCCCTTCTTGTTTCAACAGCCTACTCCACCATTTCTTCTCAGTTTTCTTCACTAGATAACATATGTGTCTCAGTCCAACTGCAGCTTTGCTCTCCTACAATACACACTCATCATTAATTGGAGAAATATGATCAAAAACTTTAGCAAACGCTTACCTCAACATTAACTTTGTCGTGCAACTCAAGATCGAGTTCATAGGGAGTGTTGTCAGGACTCTTCGCAGAGAAATAAAAGCGACCTTCAGGTTCCAGTTTGAGTTTTACATCCTTGGCATCAGGGAGTTCAATTGTGATGAAGACCTTGTCAGATCTTTGAGCCCATTTTGTAAGTGGATGTCGACTGACAAAGAGAAATAATACAAAGTCAAAATATCATTAAAGAGAGAGAGCATGTCTTGCAAGGGATAAGTCATTAGCAATGAGTATGCAGAAGATCCATCCATTTATGGAAATGAAAGGAAAAAAATGCTTCTATATATGCAATCACAAGACGGCTACATTTCAGTAAGATGGAATTAAGTGTCAAACAGATAAAATAAGAGATCAAAGAAACTTCACATTACCAAATCCTAAAGGGTGATGGAAATCCACTCAGACCCAAGAAAACAACTGGATACACAAGCCTTTTCTGGTTTTCTTACAATCTTGGGTTAATTGTACTACACGGGTTATGCATAAACTTTTTAGTTATACATAAACTTTGAGGTTTTCCCCCCTGGGTAATCATATGGAAACCATCTTTCAATTACAAATTTCACTAAAACGACCAAAAATAAGTTTTAAAAACTCAAGTTCAAAGTACCGCTAGTTGTATCCCAACAAGACGTAAACACTAAAAATAAGGGAAAATTTACAAAATAATTCGTTTTGCTAATTATTTAGCAAAATAGACCTCTTTTGAAAAAAAGAGATCGATTTTGAAAAACAAGACTCAGAAAACATACGGGATTACTAGTCTCGTATGTTTAGAGCCAAATTAATCACGGATTAGTGACTCAGAAAACATACGGGACTAGTAGTCCCGTATGTTTTCCGAGTTCATCTCAATGTTTTGTGAAACTTTCTGAGTTCACTAATCCGTGATTAAAACATACGGGACTACTAGTCCCGTATGTTTTCTGAGCTGTTTTGCAAAATAGACCTCTTTTTGGCCTGTTGACCAAAAAGATGTCTATTTTGCTAATTATTTAGCAAAACGGTCTATTTTGCTAAATAATTAGCAAAAACAGACTATTTTGTAAATTTTTCCTAAAAATAATAATGAGTCGCGTGATTTTTTATGGGTAATTTTAGAGTTTCAATGAAAATTTTGACCAGACGGTGGTTTATTACAATAAAAACCCTAGTTAATTACAGCAAAACCCCACTTTAATTGCGGATTCTATATAGGAATTGCGGGTGACCCGCATGATCAGGAGGTTCCAATATGGCTCCCAGGGTCTTGTGTTCGATTTCATATTAAAAAAAATTGTTGATTCTGTATAAATTCAGAATGATTAGAGGAAAAACAAAATGGTTTCTGTATAATTACCCTATTTTAGTATGATTTCTTGTTAAAGAAAACCCCCAACTTTTTATTTGCACTTGGGACCCGCCGCGTTCGTATGAAATTATTCGTAGCTAAACTATATGGATGATTTTCAATGTGCACAGAACAAATAAGGGGCCTCTCCACAATACACTGAGACAATCAAGAACTAAATCATCATTTAATGGATACAGATATCCAAATAAAGTCACACAACTCATCAGAACTAAATCATCAAATGGGTGATTTTAGTCATTTTAACTCAATTCTTCATGACTTGCACTAGATCTAGAACCCTAAACCTCTGAAATTATTGACACGTAGAGCAAATATGAACAGAGATTGTTTGAATAAAAAAAAAACAAAGACGGGATAAGATTTTACCTCATATTTCTTCCTTTTTTTTGGTTAAAATATTTGCCGGGTTAACACAAGAAGCTACAATCAGCAAGGAAAGCGGTGAGTAGATGGTGGAGGATATATATATAGGAGCACGAAGGCGAGAGGTGTTTCTGAAGAGGTCTAGAGAATTCCATGAAGCAGCTGGAAAATTATGAACAGCACCTCCAATTATTAACCGATTTGCCGTGGGCTTCCATGAACCGGTTGGAAAATTATGACTAGCTCCCCCAATTATCCACACGTTAGAATAAAGTCCTCCACCTGGTGCCTAGTTTTCCGATTTTTAACTATGTACACGATTGAGCTAGATTTCCAATATTTTAATTACTTAGATGATTAGCCACATAATTAAATAGTAATCATATTTCTAGTCAATTTGAACTGTGTGTTCTCTTTTTTTAATAAAACTTACTCAACCTATCATAAGTTAATTTTTAAGAACAAAAATACTAAATACAATATAATTATGTAATATACGTTGACCCCATGTGTCACAAATTTTAATTTTCATAAGTAGCCGAGATATTCCATGTAGAAAAAAAATATGTTATGTCAAATAATTAAATTTTTTTTATGGCACATCAGCCAAATATATTTAGTTAGTAACCCAAGCAAAATATATTATTTCAGTTGACGAAAAGAGATAGAAGTGATAAACAATCTAATTAATGTTTAATTATATATTAGTTAGTAACCCAAGCAATTATTAAAATGTAAGTATGAAACGCCATCACAGCCAAAACATAAATACTGCGAAACACCATCCAGTCCGTCCGTTTGATCATATGATTCACGATCAACGACTCTCCTCATTCAGTGGCAAACCCGTAATTTACCTAGATCGCCACGTGTCAACATCAGAACCCCTTCATTCTCTATAAATATACAGTTCGTTTTCCCGCCCGAGCGAGATCTCAATCTCAATCTCCGAGCTCGCGACAAGAAGCGATCTCCTTCGAATGAAGCGATTCAAGGTTTGAGAAAATCTCCGAAAATTTGAACTTCGTCTTTCCGATCTCATCACAGGTGAGTTTTTTTTCCTTTTCCCTTTGCTAATTTCTTTTAATTCCAAAGAAATTTCTTGTTCAAGATATTTCCCCCCCGATGTCACCTTATCAGCTAATTTCAAGATCAATCTTTACTCTATTTCATTTGAATAAGCTTCTTCGAGTGACTTCTGTTAAAATAGATAGAGATTAGGGCAAGTAAACCTTAGATCTGAGGAGATCTGAGGGTTTTCTTCGCAATTTCTGATTTATTTAGCAATTATATGTTCTTGATGCGAATTTTCTGCTTATTTTCGCTCTGATCATCAACACGATTAGTTTTGTATAGTTTACATAATTTTTTCCATCTGCTCCTAATCAGTAGGAAAATGAAATACTTGAGTTTCTTTGATTTTCCCCCCCTGCTTTAATTTAATGTTTTAGATCAATCATACACTCATAAAGGAATATTATACACTGTTGTTATGAATCTCCCCCAAACTTTGCCCTAATTTCGCATGTTTTTTCATGGATCCATCGACTTGCTTCAGATTATTTAGCAAAAATAGAATTAATTTCGAAATTCAAAAACTCAGTTACATTGTGAACTGCTCTTCTTTTGGTTTTTTGTTAGATCTTTTTTGATCTTCCCTCTTTTGAGTATGTACAGAGGGGTGGTGTTTTTCTTCTTTGTATGTAGTTGCTGATATGGACTGTAATACTCACTCTTGGTTGGGGGTGAGTATTTTATGTAACAACCATTTTTGTTAATTTAGCTGGCTGGATTACCTTTGTGGTAATCCATCCTTTTTCTCAAAAAAAATTTCGAAATTCAAAAACAAAATCTGTACGCTGTCTCAATTCGAAAATTAAGCCGCCTCCAGCCACTTAAAGATTCTTCGGACGTCTATTTAGATCGTTTGAGGATGCCATTACTGTCAATTTTCACGATACCGCTTAGACTTATCCCTCAGGGAGCAGGATAAGCTCCCAATGCGATGATCTACTACGAGGTGATACAGAAAACTCGCCCCTCACAATCGATCGGAGCCCATAACAGGAGCGCGATCCGGGCTCAGGAATCATGCGCTAGGCCCCACTAACCCGTCGCCGCATCGCCCTCAGCACCGCTCGCCTCCCTCTGCTTCCTCTCGGCCCCCACCTCTCGACGCTTGCTCCTCGCGATCGTTCGGACGTGGACCCCACCCTCCTCCGCCTCCCAGATCCGGCAGCCTCCGATTCTCGCTCCCGCCTCGCTCGCGCACACTCTCGATCTCTCTGGCGGCAGGCCCGCCCGCTTTTCGGATTATGATAGCCCGTCGATTCTTCTCATCGATCGGAACTTGAACACAGTCGCCGGCGGAGTACAAGGCGCGGCCGTTTGAGCGGTAGTGGATGGTAGTGAGGCGGATGGGGGTTGACTGGACGGGGTTCTGTAGTGATGTCGAGGCGGAACTATTAGAAGGAATAATTTCGGCGGGAGTTTCAGTGTTCGCCGCGCGAACTAGTCCGGAGGTCGCGGTCCGGCGGGGTTTGCAAGAGGATATGTGCTGGTCGTGGAAGGAGCTTGGGCAGTGTCGCTATGGGTCCAAGTGCCAAGTAAGTTGTGTTGTTACTTGTTAGAGGACACGTGTATTTTAAGATTCAGTGAAGTTTGATATGGATGTGATTTTGTTGTTCGTGGAATTTTGCAGTTTGCTCATGGGAAGGAAGAATTGCGCTCGGATCCGCGGGGGCCTCGATCTTGGAAACATAAAAACGAGGTAATCTCCTCTTTTTTTTTTTTTTTTTTTTTGTCTTTAAAACAATGAATTGGGCCAGGGCCAAATGGAGAAAAGAATACTCTAACATCTAACTAGCCCTGATCAGATCCGAGCTTCCCCATTTTCAAATTAGGATTTTTGTTTCTAAACCCAAAAGGTCGTACCCTGATGTATTTCGAATTCACACACGCACTACTAAAATTATTCTCAAACCCAAATTATCCATGTAATTATGTCTAAATCCAGTTTCTGCTTTCAATTCCCCACGAATGTTTGGTATGAGTTGTTTTATTTGGTGTCAGTAGACGAATTTGGATTTAAGATACTGTGGTTAATTATAGAAGAAATCAGTAATAGGTCCCTCTTTCTGTAGCCTATCCAGCTGAGTCCTTTTTGTCTATTTCTCTTCAAATTGCAAGTTTTTTTTAACTAAAGTAGTAAATTATTCTGAACAATGACCAATTCTGGTCACAAATCCTTTCACAGGTTGCAAGAAGTGTGAGCAGTACAAAATCCTCACCAAGCTCAGGATCATCGAGCGCATACGGCAGCAAATACTACCGCTACATCTCTCTTCCATCGCCCAACACCCCTGATCCTGATCTCCCTACGAGGACCTCATTGACAAAGCTCGCCGAGACCGCCGCTGCTTCAACCATTAACCCAAAATCCAAGCTCGAGACTGCGGCTCCAACACAGAATCCAAGCTTGAGCCCACCGCTCCAATCGCTATCCCAGTTCCACCGACGCCATTACCATCGTCGTCTACCTTCAATTGGCCTCCGTCTGAAGAAGAAGAAGAGCTCATTATGCGCGTTCTCTATGGGCCTAGCTCTACGCGCAGGCTGCCTGTCTTCGAGGAGATATGCTCTCAGTAAGATCCTCTCACAATTGTCCTTCGAGTTACTTAGTCACTACATACCTGCATCATTCATTCAAATGCTGGATTTGGTAGCTTTAGTTGACATAGCATCAAGTAGCTATTAATCATGCATCATGTATTGTGTTCTTACTATAGCAATCATGACGATACTGCTAGTTTTGGGACTTGTCTATTTGTAGTCCCCTGCCTACGTTGCAGAGTACTAGAATATGGATTCTCTTTAATGTCAATCACCATAACAGAGAATTGCACGCATTTGGATGAATGGATCCTCCGTGAATTTTGAACTGAGATATTCACAAGGGTTATGATTGAGGAAGGCCATCTTAGAATTTCAAACCACATGAAGGACACTCATCACAGTTATAACATTAGAATCCGAAGGGTAACTGACTGATCATTTGCAAATACATATATTTTAAAGCTCTACATTAATAGGCTCTCTTTCGCTCGACAAACTCCTCTTGAGCTTCTCTGTAGCCTTCTCCACGGCCTCCCCTGCCACCTTGGCTGCTCCACAGTCTGCTTGCTCGTCTCGAAGCTCCTGGTCGCCGCCTCTTTCATCACATTCGTATCCGATCCCTGACCAAACCTTTTTCAGAAAAGAACAAAGGGTAAGGATTAATGGACTTAACAATGTTGATTAAATCTCAAATATATATGAATTACTTCAAATCCGGAGGCCGGAGGTTCATCCAAGCAAGTTTTGCCCAAGTCCGGATCGCATCCCAGCGGCTGTTGAGTCCGGTGATGCCGACGGCCCTCTCGACTGGGCTCGGGTCTTGCTGCTTGTTATCCTCTTTCTTTACGTCGTCTCCTCTAACTACTGAGGATAGAGTTAGAGGAGAGAGGAGGAGGAAGAGGAGGAAAAGGTGGCTTTTAATTTTAGTGACGGTGATAGAATTCATGGCGGTGAGAATTGGATTAGGACGAGGGAGATGAAGGCGAGAGAGCGAAAGAGGGAGGAGTGATGAAACGGTTATATCAACTGTGGCTA